CTCATTGGTGGAGACTCACCAGATCATAAATTCCGTGTCATGATTGGACCACAGGTAAATAAATCTGGAGTACTCTGGACTATGTATTGAGCAGTCAACGTTCAAGTATGTGCAAGGATTATTACATTTTGTTCTTGGGCTAGAAACTTTACTCTCTTAGTGACCTTTCCCACCCAACAGTATATTAAATGGGTACCAACCAACTGCTGTGACAATGTGGCCAAATGCTGGGGGGATAACTTGCAGGTTGAATGCCATCTAGTAGCAAATTACTCCTCTTAAGCCACTTTACTCCACAGAAAGAAAAGATAAGTGCAACGAAGTGGTACCAATGATCCATCTAGCTACCCCTTAAATGGAGTTAGTCATCATCGCCATTATCGTTGTCGTCAACAACATCATCATCATCATCATGGTCATTATCATGTTCTTCAACATCATTATGAGTTAGTTACAAAACAAGTGATGGGTGTAAAGTTAATGGTTAAATAATATTTACATTTATTTACTCCTTTCAATAACCAGTAGACTATACTGCAGAACATAACTTATAAAACTGACCAGTCGCAGTGTACAATTGTACATGTTCTCTGAACAGAATCTTGAACAATTATTTTAATAATAATAAATTATATATAGCAAAGTTCTTACAGCACATCAAGTATAAATTCTCAATGCGTTTTCTGTATAAATATGAAATTTTAAGTGATATGTATCAGTTAAAGAACCATTTGATTAACACAAGCCTTTTGAAAGGGAATGTCCTAAATTCACTCTGAAACGAACCGATGTAAGTAAATTTTATTTAAAGCTAAAACCAAGCACTAATAAAAAAATTTATTATTTTCAGAGTTGTACTTGTACAAGACCGCATTGTGTCCATCTTCTTTTTGTGATGTTGAGAGTTTTTAAACTGAAAGAAAATGATCCTCTGTTATGGACCTTGAAATTGAAGAACTTTGAGGTAAGATTTCTTCTGCTGGTCAAGGCAGGTAACAGTTTTTTTTTTCTTAATAGTCTATTCAATTATACAAATATGCCTATTAGTGGAGGTTTGACTATTTCAGTTCATCTTTTTTCTGTCCTGAATTTGTTTTCAAGGTTGAGAATTTACTTTCCAAGTTCCACGCTCGTGTTACATCACGCTTGCAAAAAGACACAAGTGGCCAGTTGAAGAATTCGCGGTCGAGAGGTCAAAGAAGCACACCGCCATCAACCCCAAGCACATCAGGCCTTGGGGGACTGTTAACCCAGGCACGTGAGGATGAAGAAGTGTGTCCCATATGCTTGCTGGAAATGGTCGAAGGTGAAAGCTTAACAAGCTGTCAAGATGGATGCAACAACAGACTTCATCAGCATTGCATGGAAATATGTAAGTTTGTGTAAATTTAAGGGTAATGTACCAACAATCCAATGAAAAAGGACTTTTAATGAGACCCCTGCCATTTTGCAATATTACATGTAAGTTAAATGTCCAACAATAGATGCTTTCTATTCTCCTTCTATGTTGGTTTTCGTCCTGGTGTAACCTAACTTTTTAGGGAACAACATTGTGTTCTGATTCAGTGTAATAATAGTATAATTGTTCATTTTATCTTTGTGATCAGGGGCTGCAGAATGCAAAAGACAGAGAGAGGCACTGTTCTGTCCATTGTGTCGGAAGGCGTGGTCATCAGAGGCATATGGAACAGAAAGGTATTGTTGCTATTCAATTTTCAGCAGTTACGAATAAAATTAAAGTGCTTCAAAAA